GTTTAAAACTAACCTCTTTTTTTAAATTTTCTTACTGTGACTGGTTGACGGGCGCTTCTGAAATTTTAATGTATCAATACTGACTCGTGCGATTTTCATGCCGGGTTTTCAGGGAATAATTAAGTAGGTGTGTGCAATAAATACACCTTATTCGATGGTTTAGCATATAATACGTGCGGATATTTTGCGAGTTGCGTTGTATTTTTCCGAGCCCCGCAGGGGCAAGGAAAAATACGAACAATGAGCAAAATGTCCGCTTGTATTATATGCTAAACCATAGAATAAGAGGTTTATTATTCCACTACAAAAAAAAATTAACTGGCAATTGGCTTCTAGTTTTTGGTAAGAGTATTCAGAGACATCCTGATCCTGTCTGTGAGAATGACGTTAACAATTAGCAAAATGTTCGCGCGTATTATATGCCAAACCATTGAATGAGAGGTTAATTATTTTACTGCAAAAGAAAAATGGTATTTTGGCTTCTATTTTCTAATGAGAGTATCCAAAACATCCTGATTCTGTCAGCCACAGTTGCTCCTTTTGCATCCGCCGGTATTCGCCCTGTTGTAAACCGGTTAAACCAGGACACTACGGTGTATTACGGCCTCGTATTTTGCTTGTTCTCTTGACCTTATATGGTAAAATGACATAATAGTGGAATAATAAAGTCCCTTGCATTTTAGCGGAGATATCGCGCACGAAGCGCGCGCAGAGGAGCACCATGGGTAAGAAAATGTGGTAAACTACCCATCCAAGAAAATTTGGTAATCACGAGACCGTACGCCGACCGCCCGAACGTTCGTCCGCACCACAGGCATAACAATGTAAAATAACTCAATCAACAGGTATGGCTACCCAAATGCAACTCGCGCGAGGTTATTTTGACGGGAAGTCGCATAGCTACCCGCGTCTTGGGAAGCAGAGACAACTAAGGAGCCAATGAAGACGAAAGCGGAAATTGTCGCTGTATCCGTCTTTTCTAAAGTATTAAGCTTAGCTTAATTGTCAGGTTCACAAATTTGGAATATAGGGCAAGAGAAAGACCGAGAAAAAGAGAAAGTAGGCGGCAAGCCAGCGAAGCTCAACGAGAAAAAGGGCGACAGAGATCTAGAGCGAGAGATAAAAACCAAAGGAGACATTTTGTCGGAAGAACAACATGAAAATTTTGTAGCGGCGGTAACAAAATGAGAAATGCTAGCGGCCACCAATATAATGCAAGGTGAAAATGAGCGGCAGTGAAAAAAAAAGTGAAGAAAAAAACGTACGACATTTCCTCCATAAAACGTGTAACTAAGAAGTTTCTGGAAGTTTCACGTTGTAGTCGTGCAAAACAACGGCAAAGAAATGTACAAAAAAAGTGTGCTGCACGTACGCTAGCCTCCCACGCAGGCGTTTTTAGGGGAGCTCGAAAACGCCTGCGTAGGAGGCTGCACGTACAGGTGTAAAGTTGCTTTTTTGCTAATTAGACCTCTTGTTGTTTTTCACCATTCTTCGGCGTTGCCTTCGCCACTTAGCAGTACACGATTTTATATTTTGTTTGAGCAAACTATAAATATTATCGAGAGCTTCGCTTTTAGCCCTGGCTAAATCTATACATTACCGAAATCAACGATGATGAAAGTGGTATTTCGATTTTTAAGAGTAGCGTGTGTTTAGGGTTTTAGAAATCGGTAACCCTTCGCGAAGGGAGGTCCTGAAGAATGCGGCATTGTGCAAAAAGTTTAAGAGAGTGTACCGGTCAAATATCGAATACAGTTAATTTATGGTAGTTAGATTATAACTCAGTAATAACAAAACATTTGATAGTGAAGAGAAATGCGGAGTGGACTGGAGTGGAGTGGACGTGACTTCATTATACAAAGAGCCGAGTAACACTTCACAGTTATCATGGAAAATGATAAAGTTGTGGCCCTTAACCTCAAGTTTTTTTGTTTTATCAATCGTGTTCTCATTTAGCCTAAAGCAAAAGGGAACTAACCCCTTTTGTACCTTTTAGGAACATTTAACCCTTTGGTCACGGCCGGCGAGTAGCGAAAAACCGCATTTTTCACCAATTCCTTTTCTTTAGGGTATTCTTCGGCTAATTAGCATAAGAATGGCTATAAAAATGAGTTTTGCAAGAAAAAAGGCATATTTGCCGACTAATCTGACGTAATTAAACAACTTTTTTTGTTTTTCACGCATGCGCAAATCTATTTCGATCTTTCTCTCTCGCACTCTTTTTTTGCTTTTTTTCCTTCTTTATCGGGTGGTTTTGTTGCCCACTTTATCTTCTTTCTTTTGCATGAAATTGTGGCTGGCTAACTTTTTAGGAAAAGGGACAAATTTAATTTTCAAAGAGTAGTATGTAAACTGAGCGGAAATTGGCAATGGATTCTTCCCCAAATGTTACCAAAAATGTTTTTTAATGATCAGATGACAACCACTTCTGCAGTCAGCGGCACCAAAACTACAAGAACGTCACAGAAATATTGAATAAATATAGTAAATTAATGCTATTATATATACTGCCAACCGTAATTGGATTGCGAAAAGAAAGTTTGTCAACAGCTCTGTAGGGAAATTAAACACACAAAGTGACTTTATACTATGAAAACGTGATCTGCATTTAATAACTACTCTCGCAGAACTACGTGCACTAACGTCCACCAGACCTTGACTTCAAATTGAGACAAATCCATTTCCGAAACTATAACTGCATCTCAAGAATAATCTCGAGAAAGGGCCGTGTAAACCGCGACAAATGATACTGGACTAAACTAAACCACGATTGATACTAAACGTTGATGTTGATTGATAATAGGCCATTTGCACTTGGGGTCATTTTACTGCTACTACCAGAATCCTTTTAGTTTTTCTTTTCATACCAAAATTTGGTAATCCCAGCGGTTAGGTTTGAATGACAAAAGCCCTAATTTGCACAGGAAAGCGAACCCTTAAGGATTAAGGATTCTGATTGTAGTAAAACAATTTCGTCGTACACATATCTTATTGATAATAAAAAAAAGCACGTCAGAAATAACACAAATCTTAATCTCATTTTAAAAGCTTAGTAACTAGTAACAGGCTGGGAAATTAGAAAAGGATGTCTTTTACAATCTCATATGTACATATGTAAGTGAAAACAGTTAGATTACAGTAAAGTTAACCAACCTTTGACTCCAAATTAAAGCACAATGTCTTTCATAAGACAATCACAAAAGATAAATGTAGTCTATAAATAATAATTGAAAATAATAATTGAAAAAACGCACAAAAGCGTTCCCGTTTCGACTTTATTCAAAAGACTAACCTAGCAGCAGTGTGAGCCTGTCGGTTTTCCTAGCTAGTTTACCTGAAGAAACTGACTTATTGGTGAGCTATGACTGTTTGATTATATGAAGTACCTTAAAAATTATGATGAAAACTTCTTTAAAAAATATTAACAAATATATGAGATGCATGTAAACTTAGGAATTTCTGTTTATTAATGTCCACCTCTCCCTTAAACGTTTGTTCCCTTTAAAATCAGTCAGTTTTCTACGTCTTCAGCCTCATGCAGCTGTCATTTCTCAGACGTTCAGCTTACAGTTTTAAAACGAGTACCATGCAGATGTCTGTTGAATGCCAACTTTACTATACGTGAGACCAGCCTTAGTTGAAGAGGGCCGCGGTAAACTCGATTTCAAAGAGCTTAAGCAAAGGCTTTTTGAGTGTCGATCACGTTAACAGGAAGTGGACTCTAGATTAACGCTAGTGTAATTGACCAACCTCTCACTCAAAAGTCAGAAACTCTGTTTTTCATATGTTGGCGAGTAGATAGATTGTCAACTGCGAAGAAATATACAAAAACTGAAATTTGGGGTTTGTTCGTTAATTGCCTTTGCACACAAAAGAGCCCGCCCCGCAGAGATTTTTACAGACTTAGTAACTAGGATATCTGTGAAAACTGCCTGCTTAGTTTTAGCTCTGGAACTGATGTACTTTTGGAGAAATTCAGGAAAGGATAACCATATTTTAGCCATCAACTCAAATGGCCGAAACTCTATATAGTTGATTAACCGTTTATGCCACGCAAATTCGATATAATAAAGAGCAATATACACAAATGTAAACTAAATTGATGTATTATATCTGCTCCAAGTCTTGGGTTGTAGCACTTTAATGGACTTGAGAAACAGAGCTACACATTTTGCACTTTTTACAACAGTTTCTGGATAAAATATTAGATTTTTTGCCACCAACAAATAATTGGTGTTAGCAAGACAACAATAAAGTAGCAATCCGAACAAAGTGCATTGTTAGACATCCCCCACAATACCTAACTGCATGGAAAATTTGAGGGGAGGTCAAAATTTTTCCTTTCCTACTTTGCTTGATTCTTACAGGGAATTTCTCTGAATACTTTGGCGGTTAAATAAGTTCAGCCGGATCGTTACCCTTGCCAAGAGTAAGTCTAGGCCAAGAGTATCCACCAACTTAGGTAAGACGTCCTTTAAATTCTCCGCTCCAAAAATCTGGGAGACTGTACCGCTAGTCTCAAGTGTCTGCCATTTCATAAGTTTAAGAAAGAATGGAAATCCAATCTTCTAACCAACCAAGTCTGACCTTGCTTATATGTTCTACCACTGATATTATCTGAGATTTTATTTCCTCTCTTTACTGCTGCCGATTATCTGAACATGACGGTGTCCAACAAGAAAGCTCTTGCTTCTTTGGACACTGTACACAAATAAATTATTATTTATCAGCCACTTTATTTTCCTAACCTATGTAATCTTGTGTGAATATCTTATATAGTGTGAAATAAGGAATTGAATTGAATTGAAATTGAACTTGCTCAACTTCCGCCAGAACATGATGAACTTCATATTCATATCTATTTGTCCTCTGTTTGGTTTTGGTTAAACACCATCTATCGCAGCAGTCCTCAGTTGACACAGTCAGTTACCCCTTGTGGCACTCTTATGTACTAGAAGAAAATTCATTTATATGTTGATATTTTACAGTTGAATTCAGCGATGGAGAACCAACAAAAATCGAAGTTAAACATCAAACAGCGCTTTTCCTGTGGCCTCGGGAACGTTCTCAACGAAATTTTCCGCCAAACGTACATTTCTTTTTCTATCATATTTTTGATGCAAGTGATTGGTTTGTCGGCATCCCAAGCCGGATTGGCTATGCTTATTGGACAAATAACTGACGCCTTTACCTCTCCAATAACTGGTTTCTTGGGCGACCGTGTGCAAATTCCATTTATTTCCAAAAAGCTAGGTCAAAGGAAGTCGTGGCACTTAGTGGGAACGGTTATGATGGCCGGTGGATTTCCTCTTCTGTTCAATCGGTGTTTAGTATGCAACGATTATCAGGGTGTCAGTTGGTTACAACCTTTTTACTATTATTGCATCATGGTTATTATAAGTCCAGCATACAACATTCTGGAGATCAATCATCTTTCCATCACCTTCACTGCAGCTGGGACAGTGCGAGAAGGCGCGGCGTTAACTGCTATAAGGTTACAGCAATAACACTATTTTTTTTGTTCACAATTTCTTGATTCTGGTTTTTTGGATTCTGTTCTCTGACTGAATGTGATCTCACCAGTGGTTATGAAGTGTATATTGATAATTAACGCAGCTAAAGCACGTTTTTGCCTCTGCTTTTCTTATTTTTCAAACCTTTTTTTTTTTATTTTTCGCTTTGAATCTCAAATGCAGTAACCTGATTTGACAGGCTACAATACCGTCAGTGATCAAGATCGATTACGTTCAGTTCAAGACGTGGTATATTGGAATAAAGATACCCTCATCCCGAATTTATGTCGTAAGAGTCGACCCTTTTTTTTTCTTTTTTTTTTTTTTTTGATATAGGACAGTCCTTAGTTTCGTTAGTGGAATATACGTTTATGTGGTTGCCTGGGGACTGCTTGGTCAGGATGGCGGAGACGATCTGGGGCCGGAAAGTGTAACACAGTTTGCGGTAGGTACCTAAATAAAGTGACGATATGGAAATTGCATTAATGAAAAAAGCAATCTAACTGATTGGATTAATGATGATGATGATGATGATGATGATGATGATGATGATGATGATGAGATTGAATTCATAATACCATATTGCTCCCGCACCCAACTAAACGCACGTTTTTTTATGGTGCCTGCATGCTTTTGAGCTATTTTGAAAAAAAAGCTCATGTGCCAGTGGTGTGAGCATATGTATCTTTGTGGCTTTGTAAGTTCGGATGTTTGTTGCAAGAGCCTGGTTGGAGGTACTATGAGTTGAAACTTAAACCCCATTTACAAGTGCTAAAAAATCAGCCCGGCACGTCCAATTTTTGGCACCATGCTTCGTTTACCCGTGCCGAGACTACCTCCCGGAGGTAGTCTCGGCACCCCTAAAATTTTGAGCACTGGTGCCACATTACATTTGGGACCAATACGTTTACACGTCGAAAATTGGGAGGGCCGTACCTTAAAATCGTCAGCACGGTGCCAAAAATTTGGCGTGTCGTGCTGATTTTTTAGCGCATGTAAATGGGGTTTTAGGCCGGAACCAATAACATCTTGGCATCTATTTTAACATGACATTGCTAAAGGACGAACAAGGGTACTTTGAGACCGCCATCTTGATTCTTCACAATTTTTTTCGTCTTTTATTACGGCTACAGGTGTTTAGAAGCATTACATTAAATATCTTCCTGATTCAAACGCTGTGTACAGTGATGCAGCTGTTTAAGGGTTCATATCTTAATGTGGATGCTGCTTCAAAACATCTCTGACCGAATTCGGCTATCGCGAACGGTACAACGCACTTATTTACGAGATGTGTTTCACCTGCCTCAAGATAGAGTATAAAAGATCATACATTTTCAAAGCTCTTCCAATGAAAGAATAATTGATATTTAGATACGGACTTTAATTCGAAGGTATGCGGCCTATAAATTGTGGTTTTAGATATTTGAAAGGCAGCTTATTTTTTTCGGACGTTGTACCGAGTATTGTTAATCCTGTAAACAAGCTTTATTCTCTCGCTTACAAAGTTCAACAGACCTTTTTCGTTCCGGCAATTTAAACATGAATAAGTGAACAACATGATACGTCCTTCCTGCTTAATAAGTATTATATTATAGTTATTGAAACGTATTTTATTTAGTAAAGATGCGTAACTTAAGCCTGGTTTCCATATGATCGCTACGATCGCTGTGATTACTGCGATCGCTGAGAAAAAAAATTTCAGCGATCGCCACGAACATAAGGAAACCACTTTCCATTGACGCGTAGCGATCGCAGCGACAACGAGCGCTGAGATATAAAAAGTTCTATCTCAGTGATCGTTGTTGATGCGATCGCAGGAAAGTGGTTACCATATGATCGCTTCGATCATTGAACTTTTTTTTTTTCTCAGCGATCGTAGCGATCATATGAAAATCAAGCAGTTGCGACAGGGATTAAAATTGGAAGAAGCTAGTTGACACTAATTATTTGGGCGTGGCTCAAATAGAGTAATGGGAAACGGCTTGTTTTGACGCAAAAGTGAAATAGGCACGCAATACGTGCTAACGTAAACAAGCAAGTAAACAAGCGAAGGGAGGCGAATGTCTGCCATGCGAACGTCATTCAATACTACATATTCTCCTTTATCGTTTTCGTAAAGTTAACCAAAGTCTATAAAACGTGTCTTCGGAATCTCACGCAAAATGTAGTGTTTTTAAATCCTCGACTGGCGGATTCATAAAAAACTCTTTATTATCTCCAATTTGAACTTGAATTTACATCGCATCATCATATTGACACATGCAGACTTTAAAAATAGAATACGCTCCCACGAAAAACTGAAATGGACCTCATAGACGCAATGACAAATCGGAATCATAGTGTCAGGAATGTACGTGTAAAATCGATAAGAGTTTGAAAAGAAGAATGTGTATCAAGATTTGCCGCAAGATTTGTGTTGCTGGCAATCAGTGTGACAATAGTGATTTTGATTTTCACAATGCGGAACACAAGGAGTTGCCTGTGATAAAAATCTCTTCCGATAAAGGAAAAGAAGATTGTTTAAAATTGAAAACAAAAGGGACTTAAGCTTCTTTGGGAGCTATTGCGACAGCGGTAACAATTCTTCTTATTCTTTCAATTGTTGTTTTTGTATTGCGCGTTGTTTGTGTACAGTATGAGGTCCTTGGTCCGCGCAAGTCCGCGATGCCCTTGGTCCGCGACTTTTCCGAAAATGATAAAATATTTCGTCGAGAAAAAAAAATACATTGAATAATGAAAGATATCGTGATTTACAGATTAGCATTCTTTCATATGACGAAGTTTCGGCTTTCGTGCTGTGGGTGATGACGCGAAATTAAAGTTTGTTGACGGGTAGGTTAATTTGTCTTTCTTGAAGTTTAGATTTTTGCGGCACCGTAGATTACATGGTCATCTTTACTTAGCCTGGAATAAATAAAACGCAACGGGAAGACGTGCCTTTTTGCAGAACAGGTTTTCAGATCAACTCATTTCTGCTGTTGGAAGCATATTGCTATTGCTATTGTTATCACCAAATTTCGCTTAGCGAGTCCAATTGGTCCGCGACCTATGACCTTGGTTGAATAAAACTTCCCAAAAAAAAAGCGACGGCCTCTGTTTTCTAAGAATGTTTTGAAAATCGTCCCTATACATGTCTACAAGTTCTCTTTTTTTAAATACCTCTAATACAAACAGAGTTTTTGGTAATTTTTTGGTTTTTTCGACCGCGCTGAAAACCGCTCGTCGACGCTCGTGAGGGAGACTTGAGGAGACTGTTGTCTGAAGTCTTTGATAGAAAAGAATATTATGTTATACCCACAACATCTTCCGAAAAAAACTTTAGCTTAATTGCATCGAGAAAAGAAAAAAATATATATGAAATATTGTGAAAATCACGTTTTAGTATGGAAACTATAACATTTTTACGTTTTTTTCGTGCTGCTTACCTGAGACGCGGACCAAGGACCACATTCGCCGACCAAGGACCATCGAAAACGGTCGCCTTTTTTCGAATTCCAAGCAAAATATTTAATTCTGGAACTTAGAACTTCAGGATTATCGAGAGGAACATAAAAGCTATCTTCAGAGAGTATTTCAGCTCGTTACGTGAAGATTCGGGTAAGATATTCAAGTTAATGACTTTTAGACGCGGACCAAGGACCACTTACTGTATATTGTGACGCGGTACATGTACGATCCTCGGCGTCGGGATTTTTTATTATCAGCAAGTTTTGTGTTAGGAGTGTTTTGATGTCAGTGAGGTGACGACAAGAAAAGGTAATGTGTCAATTGTACAGAAGGAAAATTGTTTTGTAGAGGAAATAAAACAAGTTGAATTGAGATCTCGTCGTAGGAAATTTATGTATAACAGTGTTGAATACTGTAGTATATCAAATGTTAATAGTTTATACCAATGTTCTTGTAAACAATGCTTTGCTATAGCACTTTATGCAATGTGTTACTCTGTTATTATCCATGTGCATACTGGACTTCAAGAACCTGAACCCTATCTGCTCTTTCTAGTAATGGGAATACAATGTACAGTGTAATGGGCGTGAAAAGACATATTATGCCAGTTGATCTTCCTTAAAGTGAGAGTATCAGCGTAGCCGAGATAAACCTTACTGTTTGCGTTGTAAGCAATGGTGTCCTATGTTGCAATTTGGCTGAGAGCAAATTTGTGTTGAAGATGTGCATTTCAAAACATTATCATGAAGTGACAGGATTTAATTTGTGGTGGATTGGAACATATTGTATAAACTGTGTAGTTCAGCAAAGAAGTAGAGTAAAGGATTTATCTTTTCTTGTGGTATATGATGAAAGTTAGGTGAAATAAGACTTGTTAAAAGTATCAAAGGCGTACAGACATTTTTGAAGAAATTTGTAAAATTACACAAAGTAAATAAAATTGTCAAAGACTACAGTATGAAATACACTTTATATTATGCTCATGAAAATTGAAAGCAGTGAAAGAAAAAGATTGCGAGGAAACGCAGGTATAGTTCATTTGAGTATTGTGTGATGGAACCTCTTAAAAAGAAACCTTTAGCTACAAGGAGAAAAGAAAACAGGCAGATCGGGTCTAGATTTTTGCATTGAACAGTATAAAAATAAAATAAGAAAAGGTCCCTGTTATATATGTTGTGTTTGTAATCGATTACCTTATACCAGATCAGTTGACATTTCTGCAAAAGTAAATATTCGTGTCAAAATTTTTTCAGTGTGCAATCTTCATTTGATGGAAAACAGTATGTTTGTAAAACATGTCACTTAATACAGACAATTTCTATCAAAGCTCAGTGCCACTATTAACAGAGTTTGACTCTATTACCAACGTCCAATAAAATCAACCCAATGTAGAAACCCAGCAACTACCTCACAAACTACACTCACAAGCTACACCAGTACCCATCTTAGCAATCAACTTCAAATATAACTCCACGCCTACTTAACTTCAGACATTCAAACTAACCCCTCAAATATACAATACCTCTGAACTACCCACATATCCTTCATACACAAAACAAACTTCAAACATAGGGTTAGTTCAACCACGCCCAAATATACGCTCCCACAGCGTCTTGTTAGATATTGTGTTATTGAGTGGAATAACATGATATGAGTAGAAATATATTTCGACAGTTTGATAATTTTCTTGGACGCCGAAATGAATGTTAGGCCAGCAACCTTAACGTTGCTTGAAGTGTAATTTAATTGCAGATACATTTATTGTAAAGCCAAGGTGATTTTTTAAAATCGTTTTAGGAAATTTTCTTGTAAACAATTTGAGTTGTTTTAGGTACGAATTGTAAAAGGAACAAAGTCCAACATCTTCACGTGCAAATTGTGTGCATGAATTATTATCATAATTCGCATACGAACCACGAAAGGGGCAAAGTCCGACACTTTCACGTGCAAACTGTGTGATTCTACATTTCATGCTGGCGTTTCACAGTTGTAATAATAACTTGAACGTATGAAGACATCTTTAGTTTTGTAACTAGTGCCTAAGCAAAGGCTCTTAATTTTCTTTTAAGAAGCAAAAACTCATACCACTGTCGGAATTCAGTGGTCAGAGTTAAAGACTGTTTCGTTAAAGTAGAATCGCACGTGATAACCTCGTGAATAATGATGATGCCCGCGGCCATCTACAACAATGATAAAAATCTTAGCTATTCGGTATTCGGCGACCTTCATTATTTTAAGAAACCATGAATAACCCTTGAATCCTTCGAGTCTTCCCTCCAAGCAACGTTTGGTGAGTTGATATTCATATTACTTTAACAATTTGTTTATTTTGCACAAGATGTCTGAAGGAAAGACAAGGAAAAGTGAATTTATCAGATCAAATTAGCTATGCACTGCGGTTCTAGTTTTCATTAATGTACAGCAATATCCAATTTCGCACAAAACAATAGCCTTAATTTAGGATTAAGACAGTAGATTGCCGATATTGTTACACTGAAGCATTCAAAATAGCTCATGCACGTAAAACGTGCCTTTGTTTGATAACTAGCTAGAGGAGCAGGTGTAATTCATTTTTTTAAAAAAGCTATAACCTTTTTACTAGAGTATTCTTAGGTATGTATCAAAAGTTTAAAGTGAAATAAAACTACATTTAAGTTTAAAAAAATTTTATTTAAGTTATTTTCAAATGTTTTTATTTCTTTCCCTTTCGACGCAGCATCTTGTATGGATTGTCACTGGTACAGGAATAGTCTTTTCAGTCATTTTTTATATTGGAACAAAGGAACTAGCCGTACGCCCTCAAAGAAAGATCAGCAAACCCATGGATCAAGTGGTATGAAGTAACATAAGATATCGATTGCTTTGTCCTCGACGAATAGCTATCTTCCTTAGCCCCTGCCCATGGACGATTCGCAACTACGATAAATTATCGCAAGAAAGAGCACTTGTAACCTTTTTACGATATTGTTTCGAATGATTGGAACATTGTTTCATTGCAACCCTGTTTTGCGCTGAAAATCGTTGTTGCGAATCCTTCCTTATAACATCACCTTTAGCTCGGTATTATATTGACTTTTCCTGCTAAATTATGACGTTGATGTTCTTGCAAGGTTTCTCTCTTGATTCACATTTATTTTCATGAGAGCTTAATCCATAGTCGATTGCATTCACCTGGACCCCTCAGTTGTATCTCATTATACCCAGTGCCGTAGCAATTTGTAGTAATCATCGCACTTTATACTACCTGTAACAAAGTTCTATCACATGTCGCAATTCGCCACAAAGCCGTGTCGCACTTGGTGATAAAAAATGTCCACTTTGACACATCTCCCCAGGATGCCCATCTCTCTTTGTTAGAAAATATCACCGTACCTTATAGACTTAAAGTTTCTACCAGTTAATCAAATACCTACTCTTTCATGTCGGCAAGTATAAATATCTAAGAGTTTTTTTCACGTCGACCATGAATTGTCTCAAGAAGAGTTTCACAGTGATGGCAATTTTATGACATAAAAAAAGGTTTTTGTCTTTGGCTAGAACGGTGAAGGATTATTTCAGGCTAGCCAGTCTGTTCATTCAATGGTCTTCGAACAAGTTGATGGTGAGTTGAATGAAATGGATTACTCTACCTTTAGTTCCAATCTTTCTGTTTTACTTTCGCCTCGCAGTGCTCGTTGAGACATGAGCAACGTTAATTTTAGTATATTGAGGTCTAATTTGTCAGTAAAAGGAGACCTTGTCAATGTAACGATACCTAAGGTGAAGCTAAAACTTATACATCAGCAGGGCCAATTTATTAGAACTTTTACAAGGCATAGTGTAATTTACAAGTGTTGCTATTGTTTTCATACTCTAAAACAATATATAGCTACGCTTGTGAATTACATCACTTGCTTACGGTATGTTCGTTGCTACGCGTCACAAGTAACAACCGAGAAAGGGTCTGGGCTCTTTAATTTCTCACGTGTAGATGCTGCATGCCCATTATGGGCGCCTCATCTGGAGGGATCCTGAAAATAAAAAGATATTGAAAAAATATTTCCGTAACATCACGGGCCAGCATTGGGTAATATTACAAGGTAAAATCAGATAAAGGAAAGAGAGCGGATGTCTTTTTACCTCTTGCAGTTAACAGGCATTCAGAAATTAAACACGATATCTTTGTGGAAAAGCTAAATATCAGTAATAAGACGAAAGACTGCAGGTTCTGTTAATAAGGTATAGAGAAAATTGAATTTTTTGAAATTTTTTTTTTTAAGATGCGAAGAGGAAAACTTCGACCATAGTCCATTCCCTTGTTGACATTTTTATGTCTTCGCTGGAAAACACGGAAGTTGTCGATAACACAGCAGCTGCTAAAGCAGCATCTAAAAATATGTCTGGTACAACGATTTGTGGAAGCTCTCTTTTCAAATGGCGGTGGAAACAGTCAAGACGATTCAGAGGACAAACTTCAAATTTCTGAAGTCACATCGGGAGCGTCAAGTAATCAAGAGAAACCCGGAAGCGGTATGTAGAATGGTATTTGCCTTACTTTTTTTACATCATCCATGAGCGGGTAGTGTTTCTGACTTTAAATGTAAATATTCATGATTTTCGATCGATTTATCATCAACTTTAATTGTTATTGGCGTAACTAAACGTCATTTCAAAAGGAAACCTCGACTTAGCGGTGATTAAAATCGTGTCAGCGGTCGCACGATGAAATTCTTTTTAACCATCATAAAGTGCAAATCAAGTAATTCTAGTGAGATAAAAAAACATTGAGGCATAATTGACAAGAGATGAGAATCCTCAGGCGTTCTGGTAGTTCAAGCGAAATGACGCCATTGTACGAATGTCCTATAATTGCTATTTCTCCTGTAGATCTGATAACCCAGGTAGCAAGACTGGACCAGGATCACAAAGTGAGTCTCGTCCTTCGCTTAGTAGATGCGCTTCTTAATAAAGAGAGTCAAAGGCAACCAGAAGTAACTGGCGTTACGGCCGAAGAAGGGTAAGTGGATCTTAAAGAGGAAAGTAACAAGCAGAATAAAAACACAGATTGTATTGTATGGTGAGCTTTTTTTCTTGACGTGAACACCCTGCTTTTTTTCAAGTACCCACGTGACGGTTCCTGAGTACAAAAGCAACACCCTGTTCTTAGGCTTCAAAGTGGTCACAATTACAATGACCTATGCGCACAAGTTTTCTGTCACTTCCGTGGCAATCCACGGCTATGAATAGCCGCATTTCTGCCGGCTACGCTAACGTTTTAAAATGACGTCTGACAAGGAAAATTGGAGTAAATATGCGCTCATTAATACACTTTTGTGCTGATACCCAGAAACTACGGTAACCAGGCACCAAGTGTGATTACATAGCCTAAGGTGACGTGCATAAGTGGCAGTTGTTATGAAAGGTTGAGGGCTTTCCAATCAGTTTCCATCCACAGCCTCATCACCCACTGCACCTCTCAGAGTTTTTTACATCGCCATCTTGCACCTGAAGCGGTCTTGTATGAGCGTATTTTATTTCACCTTATTTTTTAGTTTTCCCAGTGAGTTAATCTTTGCTCAGATTACTGACAGGAACGGAACGAAAAATACAGAAATAATAGAGGGAAACGAAGCTCATAATATGAAAACAAGAGAATATGATTTAAATGGTGCTGACAGAGGACATAGCAGGCGTCGGAGAAGAGGCATGTCTTTGGCTCCAGAAGAAGTCTGTAAGCTTGGAATACACAACCTTGGTTACCAAAATGAAACCTGTGGGCTGGAGATGAGAACAAAAAACGAAGAAGACGCCACTGAGCCTGTCGCTGAAGGTGATGCAATTATCCATGGTTTCGAAAAACAAATGTCAGCTTTTACAGAAACAACAACGAGCAAAAGAAAAAGTTTCTCTGTTTCGGAAAGGAATGAAGTCTGTAATTCAGGAATTTATCCCGTTGATTCAGAGATGACAGCATTTTCAGACAAAGAGACACAGAGAAAACTGAGCATATCAGCGCTGGAAGAGAACGGATCTGAGAAAAAAGAGAAGGGAGATGAATCCAATCATAAATCGTGTAAATCTGCGATAAGTGGAGGATCTGAAAAGAGGAAACCAAAGACGACAACAGATTGGTTGAAGACTCCTAGTGTTTACAAGGTTGGCTCTCTTAATGTGTCCAATGACCTTTTTGTTTTTTAATTTCACTTTAAGTCTTATCGGTATATCCCCTTATGAAATGACTTGCCTTTGAAGCAGCTGCAAGATTGACGTGTGGGGATCACATCATTTGTAAATTTACCGAGTAAACTGAAACTATACCGAAAGGCTAACCTTTGCCAACAAATTAAGATACCAATAGTGTGCCGTTTAACAATGTTGGGTATCTATTGTCAGTTTAGAACCTTATGCAGTTCACGCAAACAGGTAAACAACAAAATACATTTTTTTGTCAAAAATGCAATCACATTACATTAATAAAGCGCTGCGCTGGAATTTCCTAACTCTGGACTCCAAGAGGGCTGTAAGGTATTAGCCCTGTTTAAAACAAAATCGTACTAAAAAATAAAGTCATTGACAAATTAATTTACCGAGTTCATTTCATCAATTAGGTTGCCGTTATCGTCACGTGTTCTCGCCTTGTGCAGGATGCGGTTTATGCATATTTGCCGTTGTACCTGACAGAAAGACTGGGCTTTGGGAAGGTAAGACGAATAATTTTGCACCCTTTATGCCAATGTGTTGAGGAGTATCTTCCATCAATGGCTCTAAGATCATCACACCATTCCCTATAATACACCCTAGCCTTAAAATCTAAACTAATATACGGAGGATGGCGTTCTCCACCACAGTTATGGAAAACCGTCACAGAATGTTATGACAAAATTGATGCAGAAAACGTTGCTGCATTTAAAGTAACTTGAGATCAGGCGTTATTTTGTCTATTTATTTTTTTGCTTCTTTACTTCTTTGGCTCGAGATAAAGGGAGAAGGCATGATCGCAGGCTTCCCTACATTTAAAGCAAAACTTAAAACATTTTTATTTAGGAAATTTTTTCATTTGCCTTTATTCTTAACATTATGTTTGGAAGTATTTTAACGGTGTTATATACAGAGATCTTTTTACTATTCCATTTTTATTCATGTAAAGCCCACTGAAGTCAGAAATGCGCTTGAAGACAACATTTCCTCTAATGTTATCATAGAAACATTTCCATGTGATAGCATCCATACCGAATATCCATAAAGGGGTTATTAATCCTTTCACTGCCAGAGAGGTTGATGGAGTTTTGTAAGGTGACTCTAACTTTTGAGTCTGCAGACGAAATCCTATAAAAATACACTCAATTTTGTCAAAATTTCACAAAATGAAATTTGAACATTTGGTCGAATTTGATTTTTGCTAAATTTGGCAGTGAATTAGGGTTAATTTTCTTCTCATTTCAATTTACTTTGAGCTTTTTGTTGATTCTTTTGCAGCAATCCATTGCCTATTTTCCCCTTGTTTTACTTGTTAGTGGAGCAATTGGCAGCACTATTTCAAAGAAACTTCACTCCAAACTGGGAAACATGGTAAGCGGCTTCTCCCTCATTTAAATTCTTCTATACATGTAACAAGTCGAATAATTCAACTGATAATAAATTAAAAATAAGGGAGTAACAAAATATCTGCAACTTGCACTGCTAAGCGAGACGATCTCCTTACCGGCTTTTATCGGGGCTCCCGCTGAGCAAACCCTCTTTCCTGACTTTGATACCTTCTATATTTGATATATTTCCTCAGGCAACTTACCTCATTGGTTCACTTTTCGTGATTGGTGCATCTGTATACTATTATTTCCAAACCACTGACTTCAAACTGTCCACATATGCGCCCGTAATACTAACAGGCAGTGGCATGTCCATCATGTACGTCATGGCCCTGACGTTCGCCGCAGAACTCGTCAAAGCAGACAAGGTGCGCCTACGCAAACATTGTGTAAATAGCAGAGTAATGACCGCAATTTAATATTTGATTTTATAAATTTAACTGAAATACTTTGGTCAAGTTAATTGAGATACGACCCGCCCTTCTGACTGTTTAAAAAACTGACATACTAAAGAAATTCTGATTGGTCAAAATAACTGGAAAACCAACGCGCGTTGTAAGTGGTCGAAATAACTGATAGACGACACGTGCTCTTATTGGTCAAAATAACTTAAAATATCACATGCCTATTGACTGGTTAAAATAACTACCGGACACGACTGGTATAACAAACTGATGAAAATACTTCGCTCGAGCTGATTGGATAACAAACGATTGTATAATGTAAGGGCCTTGTAGCTAAAATCAAACTGTATAAAACTTTAAAATTTTTTTAGTTCTTATTTAGCTATATGTATAGTCACCTTCTTAAAATAACACATCCAGTCATAAAGGGAAAAGCTAAATAGATTACTGGTTCACCGGAATACGCATGAAAGACAGTTAAAATGGACACATCTCCCTTTAACTTAGACTTTATATTAGAGGGCCACAATTAACTGATAAAGAGTCCACTGTGATTGAACTATCAGATCAAGAGATCAGGCGCGGCTATTTATAAACACAGCCATCTCCTAAATTTTCAACATATAAAGCTACCAGCAGGTTAAACGTATATGCGTTTTTTTAAAGTATCTGAAACAGTTGTGCTGTCTTTTACAGGAAACTAGTGGTTCGGCATTCGCCATCATTATTTTTGTAGCAAGAATATCCAGTGGTGGTTTGGTGATGGCCATACAAGAGTTTTACCCAGAAAACGGGTGAGATTATAAGTAGATCTTCTACCTTAATTTGGAAAATCCATATTTTTGTGGTTGGGTGAAAAATTTAATTTAATTAATTGCCGATTTCTGGGAACGTTTGTTCTCGGCTAGGTCTTTACTGTTTTCTCTGTTTTGATGTAGGAAGAGGCCACAGATTGCCATGGTTGGCTAGAATGCATGATTCGGGTGATTAAAATGTCCCGCTACTTCGATGCATCATTGTCTTCCTAAAGCATATACCTGATTCAAAAAACGTTGTCGCTAAAAAAGTATAAACCATGAACGATAAGAATTTTAGGATTTATGGGTATACGTTCATTAGCAAAGCAAAATGTTCTTTCGACAAAAGTTTACATTGTCACGAGATGCTCGTGCGGATGCAAATCCCTAGAGTACTTTGTTTGAGGCATGCTGTTGTCTTTTTTTGTCTTCCAAGAACGCTTTTAGGTCCTATCTTATGATTTTCAAGTGTGAGTTAGCGATATGGCTACGCTCTTTAACTGTAGAAATCTCTTATATGTTCCGCACTGGTGAAGTTATGAGCCGTAAATACTGGAATCCGTTTTACGTTTTTTGGAATGCATCGTCGCGAAAAGCTTTGTAAATGTACAAACATTTTTGAGAAGAACTTTAAATTTGCAATGCTAGTAAAGTTGTACCCATAAATCCATTAGGCTTGGTTTATACTTTTCAAGCGACAACGTTTTTTTAATCAGGTGTGTACTAAAAGGCCTAAAAGCTGCCCCTTTTTATTCTTAGTTCGTCGAGCGAAACGCGCGCAAGAAAAAATGCCAGGAGGGCGACTTTTAGTTATTTACGATTATTTTACTTTATAGCTCTACGTCCAATTTGAGTGAAAGCGACTACGTGCATCATGTATTTTCTGTAGTTCCCGCTCTATTGGCGCTTGCTGGCTCGCTGATGGTTTTATTCTTCCGTCCACCGTCATGTCATACAAAAAGAGGTTGGTACCGTTTCAAGCTTTCCATGCAATTATGTCTTATCATCAGCTAAGTTGGTTAAGATGTAGCCAGTCTGTACAATAATTTTTAATAAACACGATCAATATGGCAAAAATCATCTCTAGACGCTGATTATGTCAACATTTTTCATACATGCAGTTTGCAAATGAAATTATGATCGAATTTAATCTCCTTTGCTAGACAGCCCTGTATGGATTGTTTTACATCAACCTTTGTAAACTAATGCTGTCGTTTGCATGTGCTATAGATAGTGTTAAGAGGCCGTTTCTTTCAAATTATCTAGCCTGCCAAAACAGCCGTTTCTCCTCGCTACACCCCGCTTGGGAGGCGTTTTGCCAGAAGAGACTCTCTTGGAGAAACGTCCTAAACGGCGAGGAGTGTGGTTGTTTTGGCAGCCGGGCTAAAATAAATTAACAGGCATCAATTTCAGTTAGTCTTGCATTTCTTTTGCCCAAATATACATTATGGTTGGATCTAGAGGGGGCCGAAGGGGAGGCACCCCATTCACCCTTTTTTTCCGAAATTACTTGTTCTAAAAAATTTTCAATTGAATCTTTCTTGAAAGCTCTTAATTTATTAGTATAATAAGCACTCAGAGTTCTTTCTAAATTTTCTGGATCCCACATCCCTCAGATTAGCTTTTTAGCTATTTTGTAGATGGCTTGTACCTTACATAAAGTAGTAGTGTCTGTTTTTTAATGTCTTTTTTTTCAGTTTTTCTGTGGTATAAATAACATCGTTGTCTTGTCTTGTTTAACAAACGCGTTGTTCATTTTAGGAACATCTAGTTATCCATTCATTGTAAACGGCACACTGCTTGTTTTATTTGTTTGTTTGTTTGTTTTTCTTGCAGAATATTCACTTGATGAAAACCCTCAAGTTCATGATCAATCAGAAGCAATTCACGTTCACTCATTCCACGTTGTCGTAGAACCTGAGAGAGATTAGGACGCTGAGTTCCTTTTGAAATATCTAGACAAAACTGGAGAGAATTCTATACAGCTATCATTAGCAACTGAAATAACAGCAATTCAATTATGGCTTCTTCTCTGGACGACAATTAGTCATCTGTAATAACACCAAAGAAAATTTCTCATGGGAGTCCGAGAAAATGAATGTCAAATTTCACAAGAATTGTGAAAACACAGGTAGAATTCTGAAAATTTCATGTGCATCTTGCACATGAAATTTTTCGGGCTCCCATGAGAAATTTTCTTTGATGTTATATATACATGACTAATTACATCTGTTAAGCTCTTGAAAAATGTGAAAAAGAATGCAATATTTTTGACATTATTCTGGTACAAGGTCACGATAATGTGTACTGAAAATTAAAATTACTCAATTTCCCGGTGGATTCCGTGTTAACCTTCCAGCATCAGTATCAATTAAAATTCAACTCAACGCCTCAGAGGTAAGTTAGAAATCTTTTGATTTTAGGCTTTGATCATTTTACTCATTCAAAAAACGAATTTGAAGTCAGTTCTCGGCTGCCTCCATTCACGACACTGTGTAAACTATTCGTCAAATTTTCATCAAGACTTTGCTAAGTTTAAATAAGGAAACCGACACCACTAAGGATTTAGTGCTCTATTTCTAAGATTTAGAAATTAAATCATTAAAATTTCTGCTTCTTCAATTTTCTTGAAATCTCACTAAAGGACGTCCTCTTTACTTTGCTAAACCCAAGACTTTATGATGTCTGAATTGCATGGTAATAAGAAAAAATTAAAGGTACAGTGTCAGAAGTTTCATCCTTCAAAATCCATCATGCTAGATCTGAAGTCCGATTGCATCAATGCATATAGGGGCAATTTCAGAGTGGGCTACCGAGTGTGTAGCATTCTTATGAATTAAAACTTCCTTTCGAACCGGCAACAATTTATTTAATTTGTAATCAGCATCGAGTATCAGTAGAAATTGAAATCTCAGAGAAAAGATAACACTATCAACTGTTGTAAAGGAATCGTGAGCTGCTGATCCGTTCATTTGCCCTTTAACTTTTTCCAGAATAAGAATCGCATCCTGGATTATTCCGAAAGAGCTTTGAGGAAAAAATTGGTTTGTTTGTTTGTTTAGTTTGTTTTTTAAGGAAAAAAATCGATTTGGGGTAAATTGTCATATGATAATAGGATACTATTTCTTGCATTTTTAAAGACGAACAGAAACAGATCATTTCAGCCACAAAGGTGTGATTCAGCGATTTTTCCTAACTAACATGTACACAATCAAAAGATCGGCTTTTTTTAAGTTCTATTGCAATTCTTGCCACCCCATCATGGCCAAATTAAGACTTTGGGAGTCATCGACAAGCGTTCAATAAATTAATTATTTCAAATATACTTCACAAGCGTTCAATTGTTTAGCACGTCTCATGCCACTGTAAGTGAATTATTGCAACAAACACTACTCAGTTGGATATTCAAGTTACAGCAAGATGTCGATGAGGGGCAGTGGAGGAGAACGCACGCAAGCGGCGAAGCAGCTGGGAGACTGAATGAATCTCGCGACGCTCAACTTCGCTAGCCCAAATTGGAGAGCTTGCTCGCAGGCTATAACAGGGGAATTCGGCAATGGAAGGTTAACAAAAATTGAAATTAAGCATCAAGCAGTGCCTTTCCTGTGGCCTCGGAAACATTTTCAACGAACTTTTCCGCCAGCTCTTCTTTTGAAATCATATTTCTGCAGCAAGTGATTGGTTTATTGGCATCCCAAAACTATAAATTAATGTAAAAGTTCTTAGCTACTACGTGATATCTCTACCTGACATTTTCAACGATGAGTGCTGCTTATACAGTCGAACCTCCACTAACGGAAACCTCTCCACAGAGGCCACCTCTGTAATTCGGCCGCTATCTTAGGCGGACAGTCCATAAATTAACTCTTGATTACTTGAACTTCTCTACAACGGCCACTTTTCTCTGTCTCCGAGCTGAGGTGGCCGTTGTGGCAAGGTTCAACTGTATAACCTAAAATGCCCTTGGTGTTATTTTTTTTAATGCATTATTTCTCTAATAAAGGTTAAAACACCTACACCCAACTCCTTTTCGAAGCTAGCATTGCGGATGAGGCATCTTGCGTGGATTGTCACGGTTACAGGATTAACCATTGTAATAGTTTTCTATATTGGTATCAAGGAACATACTATACGCCCTCTAAAAAAAATCAGCTCACTCATGGATACAGCAGTAAGTGAAAACCTACACCATCTCTTCATCTCATCACAAACCAAATGAAGTATGCGTCATCCCCCCCCCCCCCGAACCATTACTTTCACTTTGCTTTCCCCCATTCCCCTTTAGATTGCCCCACTAATTATCACGAAATCTTGCCAATATCCACTTCTTTCTTTTGCCGTTCATACGTTTGCCTTCACCCGAATCGCTTTCTTTTGTTTCTCTTCACGTGAAAGGGTTCTCAATGTAGGTGT